ATGTCATTGCCTTGCCAGCGGCCTTTCCATAGCTGAAGGACAGACAGGTAGAGGTTAGGAGGCATTAGCTCAGGTTATACTATTTCCTTTCCATTAACTGGAAAAAAAAAAATTTAACCTTAGCAAGACAGAGTGGCAGTTTGTATTAGAGAGGGAGGAGCAAGAAGGGCAAGGATCACCTCTCCAGAATGATTCTCATTGAGCTTTGCCAGAAAGTTGAGCTGTTTGAAGTCAATACCGGAGTGTTTGTTGAGGGTCCCATTTCCTGAGAATATGAGCAGGTCAGGCATCACTTCACCCTAACCCACCCCCATAGCATAGGATCCTGCATTACAACCCCTCCTCCCACAGTAGTGACTCACGGGGCCGAGTGCGAGTGGTCCCCTTCCAGAATGTATCCTTGTATGGAATACGGTTGAGATTCTGGCCCATCTTCTCTGCCCGTTCTGGGGAAGAAAAACAGTCTTAGCCTTAAGTATAGTATAGAGGGAAGAGATACAGGATGGGACAAGAGAACACAAGCTAGGGGTAGAGAATGGACCTCGGAGAAGCTCTCTAAGGGGTGCCTTGGCTTTGTCAACAGGCATCTCTCCATACTTGTTACAGATGCTTACAAGAGCCCCGTTAGCGACCAGGTCCTGAAAAGAAAAGATAATCAGGGGCCTCTGTTACTGTCAGTCACAAGCAAGCATGAACACAGATGCAGTGCACAATCCTGTGAGAGTCACACAGTAGGACTGACAGGATGGGTTGATGGTTCCATGCTCAATTTGTTTCCCACTCATCCTAGGATTTGGGGTCTGAGTACTTACCTCTGCCACCTGGTCTTGACCCCAGAAACAGGCATAGTGAAGGGGCACATTCCCGTGCTCGTTCACTGCATTGATGTCAGCCTTGTACTGTAACAGCTGCACCCCGTGGCCAAGAAAAAAAGACAGTCCCAAATGAGATGTTTGTCTAGGCATGAGGAAGGGAGAACAGTACACATGCTCCATAGGACAGTGCCTGTTACTGACTTCACACTGCATGTGAGATGTGGATGGTGAAGGGTTTGCCCATACCTTCTGTACAATGTCACGGTGTCCATGACTGGCCGCCAGATGCAGGGGGGTATCATCTCCACGGTTCATCACATTGATCCGTGCTCCCCGCATGATCAGCATCTCAACTACTGCAGAGCGGCCTTCTCGGCAGGCCCAATGCAAGGGCGAAAAGCCATGATCGTCCCTTTAAGAAAAAGGCATAGACACTTAAGCTGGAGTTGGGGAGTTAAAGTTTTGATGGGAGGTTGGTTCTATATTCACTGAGGTTTGCCTCTCTAAACCTTAGTTCTTATTCACAAAGTTCAATTCAGATTTTCTCTTGAGCTTCACACCCAATCACTTAGATGTCCCTACAACTGTAAGGTTTATTACTTTAATGACCACATCCTAAAGCCCTTCCTCTAGCAGTTCTTCATTAGGTGATAATACTCTTCATGGAGTCCTTTGGCTTCCGCTGCCCTGTCCTCCCTTTAAGGACAGTGTTAGAAATCAAACCCAGGACTTTGTACATACTGGCACATGCTATATACTAAGCTTTATCTCTAGTCATATATCTTTAGCAACACCTGCAATCCTTTGTTTCCACTGCTTGTGCATCTTGCTGTAAAGTTACACTGACGACTGTAAGAATCTGTTAATATATGCTGTCTTGCCTGTTAGATCATATGTTTGAGGACAGTTTGACAGCTGATGTTCTCTGCAGGTTAATGGGAGAGGGGCATATTGGAGAAGGCTGGCCATAACTTAGGAGAGGAAACATGCTTACTATTTGGCTCTGGTATTGAAACTAACATCTAAAAATGGAATGGAATTAAAATGTTTTGGAGGGATATAATGACAAGGAAACATGCTTTTTGATTACTGATGAGGCAGACAGCCACACAAAACAGGATTTTCCGACTTCCAACCCAGGACACACAAAAGAAAACATTAATGGAAGTTTTAGAATAAAAGGTATATCTGGTTTGTATTTTTATTCCCTAGGAACACATATTTTACAAAGAGACATGTACAAACAAAACAATTGGGTGGGCTGGGTCACACTGACAGCCTGGAGCCATAAAAGGAAATTCCCTCCAGTCCAGGGATGCAGATCTAAGGGGCGGAACAGGGGGCGGTCTGTGGTCTAGGCCTGCAGCCTCCAGATGCCTTAGTGCTGTGGTCACTTCCTGTGAGGGGGCTGGAGGAGGAGTCTTGAGCTGATCCAGGCTTGGTCACCCAGAATCCCCCAACAGCTGAAGGAACTTATGTAGCTTTAAAAAAAAAAAAAAACTCCAGTTTGTTCTTCTAGTTTGCCCTCATCTGCTAACACTATTAGCAAAAGCTTTCCCAGGATATGAGCATATCCGTTGCTATCAGTCTTGTCTCCCAGACTTTTCATGTGTTCTGATCTAATAGCCTCCAGCAGTTTGTGGCCTCAGAATAAGTCCAAGCTTGAGGGCAAAAATAAAAGCTTAGGGTTTTGCCTACTGTCACCGTAGGGCCTAGATTTCTATCTCAAGAAAGCCTGCAGGGAGTTAACCACCTCCATTACCACACCCTATCCCCTCATGCCACCAAATCTTTCTGGTTTCCCTAACAATACCCTTTCACCTTTTGACAGCAAGAAATCTTCAAAAATACCACTCCCACTGGACAACAGCCTAAACTTCTGTTTCCTTACCAACAAAACAGATGTCAGAGCTTAGTGTCTGCCAGAGAGAGCATACAAATTATGTGAAAAATGAAACAAGTAACTTTGATTACAGAGAAATAACACAGCCTATAGGGAACTGGTAAAACCTGGTCTAGGATGACAGATGATCCTTTGCAACCTAAAAAGTACACATGGTGGCAGCAAACTGAAAACCCAGCACTAAGAAGCTGAGGCAGTAGGATGGAGAGCTGGAGGCCACTCTGAGCTAACTACATGACACCCTGTCTCCAAAAGCAAACCAAAGCTACCCACCAAACTTTCCCAATACTGCTTTTCTTGCTTTTTTTTTTTTAATCAGCCAGCATTTTAGAAAGTGCTCATATTTTTTCTGTTTCCTCACTTCCCGTTGACTTTTTTCCTGTCATCTTAGGGTATAGACTATGTCTGACTTAAGGACTCTAGCACCCACCACAAGTGGTGTTCCTTAGTTGAAGGAACCAGTACAATGCAGTTTCCTGTTACTTTTCTGCAATAGCATTCACAGAGATCAAATATATCCTAAATGTAAGTTAATGAAGCCTTTTAGATAAAAAGGTCATTCATATTCTTTAACTTCTCAGGAGCCTCTGCTACTATTGATAGCTCTCCTTTGATTAAACCATTTTGTAATCTTAATTTATTTTCTTATTTCTCCTCCAGGTGGTTGCTCCCTGTCAGTCAGCCAGGCTTCTAATCCTGTGCCTTAATTTTTACTCTTTCGAGGTACTATTTTTCACACTATAGAATCTTCAGATACCATTTAGCTGATAATTTGTCTCTTGGTCTCCCAGACAGACTTCTCCCAAACTTCAAATCTACAAACACTCTTAAAGTCACACATGGTGGCAGCAAACTGAAAACCCAGCACTAGGAAGCTGAGGCAGTAGGATGGAGAGCTGGAGGCCACTCTGAGCTAACTACATGACACCCTGTCTCCAAAAGCAAACCTAACATTTCCCAGTTGCTGTAGGGTCACCATAACTGCAGTCAGTTCAGAAACGAACATCAGCAACTTTCAAGTATCCAAACTTCACGAAACCCAGATCATCCTTGAGTATCCTCAGTTCCTATGCCAAGTCAATTACTTCATCCTCATGACTCTGGGGGATCTCACCACTTCTAGTTTTTCACCTGTCCCAATCCTAGTTCAAAACATCACTCCAAAGCCACTGCATCCAGGATGACATTTGACAAATGGGTAGTCTCATCACTGCACAGCTTCAGAACTTTGCTTACAGACATCTGTCCTTTTCCACTTCTATCCAACGCCCTAGAGCACAGAAACCTATCCTCCAACCACATGTAATTCCAGACAATTTCCTGGCACTGTGGTGTGCCTTTGACATGAGTTCATAGAGGCTGCAAAGCAACCCGGAACCCGATTGTGAAGCTTAATAAAAACTCAGTTCAGACACAGCTTCCTCTGTGTAGATCCCCCGCCCTCAACAGTCTGTGCTTACTACTTCTCACACTGGATAGCAAAGTCAGTTGCCCCCCCCCCCACGCCCGACATGAGCACCCCAAGTAGCGGAGAGTGGACTGATAGTCGTCCTCTCGCTTGCCAGCGCTTCAGCTCACCCCTGATTGAGGTCGTTCTCTGTGTTGTCCAGCCACAAGCGCACAGCCACCGCGTTGCCCTCCCGGCACTGAGTGAAAATGTCGTCCATAGCGGCGTCCCGGCACTGAGACCCGGGACTAGGGAAGCCTTTGGGGACTGCAGGAAAGCAGAGACAAGAGGATGAGTCCGTCTCTGTTCGCTACAGAATAGAAGTGTCTGCCCTGGGGTGGGAGGCTAGGCGTCGTGAGAGGGACAGTGATTGTCTATGAAGGATTTCGGGCAGTGGACAACCCCTGGGCGCGAGGGACAGGCGGAGTCTGGCGATGTAGGAGACTCGGCTAATCTCCTGAGTTGGTCGTCAGTAGGCACCGAGTCCCGATCCGCGAGTACCGCTTGGGGGAGGGAGAGCAAGCTGCAAACACCCGGGGGAGGGGACAGGGGTCCTTCCCGGCCGCCCCGGCTCCCAACTCGGAACTGTTGCAGAGATCGCAGAGACAGGCTTGCAGAACCAATGTGGGGTAGGGCGCTGAGCTATTCGCACTCACCGGGACTCGGGCCGCAGGCGCCTTCTCGGGGGAACTCCCGTCCGGCCGCGCCCGCCTCCCGGCCCCGCCCCGGCCCTCTCCGGCCAGCGCGGGCCGCCGTCCCTCCCTTCCGACCTCCTACTGCCTCTCTAGCTCTCCAGCTCCTGCACTCGATGGTGCTCTGCTCCGCGCCAGCCGCTCTAGCCACCACAGGCTTTTACTCGGTGGCTTCCGGCTGGATTTCGTCTGAGTCCAGCATTACGGCTCCCTGACGGGCTCTGCACGTGCGCCGCCGCAGCGTGGGCTCCGGCGACCCTGCTGTCCCTCGGCATGTTCGAGGAGCCCGAGTGGGTCGAGGCGGCCCCAGCAGTCGTGGGCCTCCATCCCGCGACAACGCAGACCCGGCCGGCGACTGCCCCGCCAGTTAAGGTGAGCGGCCCCGGGACTGGGCTGTTTGAGACGGCGAAGCCGACTCTCCCGGGCCGCCTCTGTGCGTGCTGGGGACCGGGAAGAGCCTGCAGTGCTGTCGTGGATCGGGATGGAGGGAGTTAGTCCTTTTTTGAGGATCCGGAAACTAACAAACAAAACAACAACAAAAACTGACCTTAAAATACAGTTGGTGAGAAGTTGGTGCGGAGGAGAGCGTACCTGAGACGTAGACAAACGTGGAGAAGCCCGGGGGCAGCAACACACCGGGTTCGAGGGTATCCAAATAGTAATGCGAGATTCGGAGGGTGGAGCACAGAGTAAATGAAAGGTTTGAAAAAGTTAAGTTTAAGTTTTCTACACTAAGGGTAGAAGTCAGTGGAGTTGTTTTAGCAGCGGAGTGGTTTCTCCGCATTTTCTATCACCTGGCATCACTTTATACTGGAGATCAGTTCCAGGGATTCAGCATGGTAGACTAGTACTCACTACTGAACAGCATCCCCGGTCTTGAAAAGGTTTTTAGTTTACTGTAGAAAGTATATTGGACACAATCAAAGCAGGTGACAGGGAGGGTTGTCAGAATCACTATTCAAAGGAGCTTCAGGGAACCCAGAACTTCCGAGGTAAATAGGTGGCCAAGGACCAGCAGCAGGACTTGCACCACAAATCAGCTTCCCAGAAATCTTTTCCTTTGAGCCTCCTCAGGTGTGGGGATCCCTCCTGAGGGGGTTCCTGACTTTTAGTGGAGCCCAGCCTTGTAATGCAGGCCACTGGCCCGCCTGTGTGCAGCTTCACCCTATCAGGCCGTTCTCTCTGCTGCAGTTAGGAACATCTTTAGTAGACCTCTGTGATGGATGCTGCCCTTCCTTTCTCAAGAAACCTCTCTGGCGCTCCCAGAATGCTATCAGCTGCAGTCTTGTTTGTGACCTTAGCACATTCTTCTAAGGAACATCACCTGACACCCTTTACACATTTTTAAAAGTAGGGTAGAAGCATCTTCCCACTCTCCAGTTTCCCAGAGGTTGGGATTGCAACCTGAAAGTCCTGGGCTTGTCAGACCTCACAACAAACTCTTTAAATGGGCTGGGAAGTATCAGCAGAATCTGAGCCAAGTCCCCATCTCCCCTTCTCAGACCTACTCTCATCCCTCGTTTGCCTCCAGGGCCGCAAACGCCGCCATCTCCTAGCCACATTACGGACCCTGGAAGCAGCATCTCTTTCCCGGAAATCCCCCAGCCCCCCTGGCAGCGATTCTGAGGAGGAGGAGGTAGGAAGGAAGAATAAATACCTCCAAAGGACCTCACTTGCCAATACCTCTAAGGAAGTAGGGGAGAAAAGAAAAAGAAAATGTCAAAAACAGGTGTCATCTGTCAGTGACTCTGAGGACAAGGAAGTAGAAAGGAAATGCTTAAGACAAATTTCTCTTGGTGGGATCTCTACTGAAGAAGAAAAAGGAAAGAGGAAATGCCAGAAATATTCCCACTCACACCCAACCCAGCCCCTGGACAGTGTTGGCCAAACAGGTACCAGTATATGTGTTTATGAGGTGGGGAGGGGGGACTATGAGCTGACTGTATAGATGACAAAGGTCTCTCTCTCTCTCTCACACACACACACACACACCATGGGCTGGATGGTAAAGGGTACTTTTATCCATACCACAGACTCTGTCTTAAGGACAAGGGAATAACCAGGATGACTTCCCATGTCTCTGAATTTAGGGGATCAAGCCTCAAATGTCTTCTCATCTCCCTCTCTGCAGTTCACAATTCGAGGACAAGTAATGCTACAATTGACCCATTCAAGCCAAGCCCTGAGTCCACATCCTGTAACTCCTTACATACCTTGAGCCGCAAACAGTGGCGGAACCGGCAGAAGAACAAGCGGAGACACAAGAACAAATTTCGGCCACTTCAGACACCAGAGCAGGTTCCTTCCAAAGCTTCCACAGAGGAGACTGAGACGCTTCCTGCACCAGCATCAGACGATCTGCAGGCTCGCGCTGGAGCCCTGCGAGCACGCATGACACAACGGCTGGATGGGGCGCGATTTCGATACCTTAACGAACAGTTGTACTCAGGGCCCAGCAGTGCTGCCCAGCGCCTCTTCCAGGAAGACCCTGAGGCTTTTCTGCTCTATCACCGTGGCTTTCAGAAACAAGTGAAGAAGTGGCCACTGCACCCAGTGGATCGTATTGCCAAAGATCTCCGCCAGAAGTAATGGGAGGAGGGGAAGGGCTGTACACTGAGTGAGGGTGAAGTGGGTGATGAAGGACTTAGACCAGACCAGCATGTGACCCTCCCTTCCACTCCCAGGCCTGCATCCTTGGTGGTAGCTGACTTTGGCTGTGGAGATTGCCGCCTAGCTTCAAGTGTTCGGAACCCTGTACACTGTTTTGACTTGGCCTCTCTGGACCCCAGGGTCACTGTATGTGACATGGCCCAGGTAAGCACCTCTATGTATCTGGCCTGTGCTTTTTCTAACCCTTCCTCCTGGTCTTCCTATCCTATTATCCACTTCAGGCACTGGTGTTGAGTTTCCCCTTACAGTACTGTGTGCTCCTTCTAACGTTTGTCTTCATCAGGTGCCTCTGGAGGATGAATCTGTGGATGTGGCTGTGTTTTGCCTTTCACTAATGGGAACTAACATCAGGGACTTCCTTGAGGAGGCAAATCGAGTGCTGAAACCAGGGTGAGTCCCTAGGACACAGATGAATTTTTGTGTGCATACATGTGTCTACACATTCACACGACTTCCTCCTTTTCCCAGGGGTCTGCTCAAAGTAGCTGAAGTCAGCAGCCGCTTTGAGGATATTCGGACATTTTTGGGGGCTGTGACCAAACTTGGCTTTAAGGTCATCTACAAGGTAAGGGTCCCCAAGAGGTCTGCCCCTATTTTTGTCCTTTCCTGGATAATGGTGTTCAAGAAGGAGGCTGTAACCACAGAAGTAGACATTTTGCTCTTTCAAGACAAAACTCCAGGAGGATCTGTGAAAAGTTCTCTAAGCTGGAGAAACACATGGAGAGGTATGGTTGAGGTGAGGATTTTGTAGCTTATTGGTGTTTTCTGTTCCTAGGACCTGACCAACAGCCACTTCTTCTTGTTTGACTTTGAAAAGACTGGGCCTCCTCGAGTTGGACCCAAAGCCCAACTCTCAGGCCTGAAACTTCAGCCCTGTCTCTACAAGCGCAGGTGATCAGTGTATACCTGTTAAAAGGGGAGGGCTCAGACTCCAAACTCAGAACTCTGAAGACTGGACCTGCCTACGCTGTGAGCCAGGACCTGGTGCCACCCTCCTTCTGTACCAAGAATACTGCTCAGCTCTACTCTGCTGGAGCCGCCTTGACTACAAACAGCATGTAGTTACCTGAGCAGTCTCAAAAATGAGGAGTTTATTGTGAAGGGTTTGGTGTATCTAGGAACTGTGGGTCCTTTCAGATATCATGTAAAGTAGTTGGCTTGGAATTGATGGATCTCTGGGTTTGGTTTCTCTTCACTTTTCAGAAGGCTCGTGGGCACTCCACTGTGCCATCTTCTGTGTTGTCTAGTCTCTGCTCGTCCATAGTTTCTGCTCCTTGAACTACAAGGCTACAGACACACAGCTTTTGTCTCATGGCAGGTCCCAGTGCTAGTTTGCCAGTTGGGGCTGGGAGTTATTTAATTTCATTTTTGGAGCTGAGAATCATTTAATTTCTTTTTTTTTTTTCTTTCCTTCCGTCCTTCCTGTTGTTGTTTTGAGACAGCATCTCACACTAGTCCAGGCTAACCTCAAATGGCAGTTCTCCTGCCTCAGCCTCATAATTATTGGGATTACAGGCGAGGGTCGCTATACCCAGCTTAATCACTTAATTTCTGACTATTCCATTTCTCGTTTGAAAAATGTAGAAGTTTTGTGTTACAGCATGTTAACTGAGTTAACTGGTAGAGTTATCTGCAAGGTTCATTATGATGCATTCCCAGCACTCTCCTATCATTTCTGGTTCTGTAGATCTGCTTAGGGTCCTAGAAATTCTTTTCTGGTGGCTTTGGGTTTTCTCCTTGAAGGAGGAAGCAAAATTTATTCATTAAAAGTAAATGTGGCAAGAGGACTGGGATTTTGAGAAGATGAAGACCATTTCGAGGAGAATAGGTGAGAATGAGTAATGATTGGGTGTGGTGGCACATGCCTTTAATTCCAGCACTTGGGAGGCAGAAGCAGGCCCCAGGGGATACACAGTGAGACCCTGAACTAAGGAAGCATAGAAGTATTGGTAGTGTTAATAACACACTAAGTTCAGTCATGAGAGGATGGGAGCATGGTACACGGTTGTGTCAGGAGCTTATTACTTGCCCTTACTACTGGTCTATCAGAACCCAGCCCCCAGATGGAGGAAAGGGGAAAGGGTCAGGATTTGCCCACTGCCCACAATTCCAGCTAAGGTGTACTGGGACCATAAGGGAAGCATGAGGTATTTATTCCTACTGCTGAGGATTTGATGAGCCTAGAATTACTCCTGCCCTGAAAAATAAAGGCAAGGAAAAGCTCAGAGGCTGGATGGTGTGGCAGTGGGTGCTGCTGCTTTGACACTGGCTTGCATTCGCAGAAGGTGCCCTGACGATTTCCTTATGCTCCTGACAGCCCTGGCAAGAGCATATGCATATCTTCTGTACATCTTTTGCTAAGTGTAAGGTGAACTTGGGTCCAGTCCCATGGTACCATTTTGAAGAGATAAAGAGACTTTACAACAAGCAGCAAGGAGTCAGGCATTTGGGCTGATGGAATGGTTTCAGGAGGCCACCCGGAATAGTGTAGTATATATGGGGCAGTAACAGGGATTTTCCCCTTTGAATGTCCACCAGACCTGTTATTCAAACCACCGAGTCAAGCCAGACTTGCATTTCCTTGACTCTCCTACTCAGTAATTGTGCTTGGAATTATTAGCAAGGAGATGGGAAAAAGTTATGGCGATCAGGGAGCTCTCCTCCATTTTCCAATGCAGTCTCTCTGACTTAGGTGAGGCAAAGCTGGAAGGGAGATTTAAAGCTACCACAGGGGCCAGTTACTTACTGTTACACAGAATTATACATGCTGATTTATATTATTTATTCCTTGAGCTGATCACGTTAACTAAGAATATCACAGTGGGGGAGGGTCAGATGTTTCTGTGGTTGAGAATACTGGCTGCTCTTGGGAAAGAATGCAGGTTCCATTCCCAGTACCCACAAAGTAGCTTGTAACCTTTATCAGACTCCAATGCCCATTTTGGCTTCTGGGCACACCAGGCTCGCTTGTGGTTCACAGACATACATGCAGGCAAAACACGCATAAAACAAAGTAAAATAAATTAATGAATAAACAGATTATAGGCTTGCTACAGCCTCAAGCAAAGCTAAGTAAACAAACAAACAAATAGAACAAGAAGATTATAGGCTTGCTTCAGCGTTTCTCCACGGCAGACAGAGTTTACTCCTTTAGGATTATAGGAGCCAAGAATAAAGCCGGGTATGGATATCGATCTAGACCTGGATCATGTTCAGTATCCCTTTCAGAGCTCTCCAAGCAGAGTGTTCTGCAATTATTTGTGTGCTCCTAATTTTGTTCCCGTAAAATAGTCCTTAGAGAGAACATAGTTCCAAAAGAAACAGTGTGATCTTGGCAGAGACAGCTCAGCTCCAAGTACTCAGCAGTTACGTAACCACACAAAGCCCTCTGGTGCTCACAGAGACTAGTAATGCGAGCCTCTCAGGCCCAGGTCATCCTCCCTCCCAGGTGCGTTCTCTAACTAGCCACCTGGTTGTCGGACTTTTGGCTACTGCAGTGATTGCTATGGGGATTTAATTGCCTCTGCTTCCCAAAGCAATTCATTTTCCGTACTGCCAAGTGATCTTTGTGAAAATGTAAATCAGATTATGTCACCTCTCTGTAAAATCTTTCAATGGTTCTCATTGCTTGAGAACAAAAGACAGACTGCTTCCCAGGTCCTGTGTGATCCTATGCAGGCTTTGTTCTGCCGCTCAGCTGCATCTTAACTCCTCAGTTCTCCAGCAGGAGCTTGCTAGTCACTCCCCCCGCACTCCGTGCCCTCTCTACTTCTATACATGACCCCTCCATCTTCTTAAAATACTCCTTCTGTCAACTAATTTATTTTCATTTTCTGGATCTCCTTACCAGTGACATGTCTCACTTTCCTGTGGAAGAATTCCCCCGGAGCCCTTCTGGACATACAATTAAACTATATTTTCCAACACTGTACATTAGGCTATGGATAGTAGGAGTGATTTTTTTTTTTTTTTCGAGACAAGGATTCTCTGTTGCTTTGGAGCCTGTCCTGGCACTAGCTCTTGTAGACCACACTGGCCTGGAACTCACAGAGATCTGCCTGCCTCCACTGCCCAGCTTGTTTTCATACCAGACTGAGAGGCAGTTGAGCTGCTTCCGTTTTCTTCCATTCCCTGCCCTACTTAGGAAGGACAGGTTTTGAAGGTGATGCAGTCATAGTATACAAGAAGTTTGGAGCCAGGCGGTGGTGGCACAAGCCTTTAATCCCAGTACTTGGGAGGCAGGCGGATCTCTATGTGTGCGAGACCGGCCTGGTCTACAAGAGCTAGTTATAGGACAGACTCCAAAACTACAGAGAAACCCTATCTCTAAAAACCAAAAGAGAAGAAAAAAACAAAAAACAAGCAGTTTAATTTTTAGGCCAGGCAGTGGTGGCACATGCCTTTAATCCCAGCACTTGGGAGGCAGAGGCAGGGAATCCCTGTGAGTTTGAGGCCAGCCTGGTCTACAAGAGCTAGTTTCAGTACAGCTAGGACTGTTACACAGGGAAACCGTGTCTCAAAAAAAAAAAAGAAGAAGAAGTTTGGCTATTTTAGGAGAAAAATGGACCCTGAAACAGATCTAAACCCCAAACCCCTTAAGCTAATGAGTGTGAGCATGTCACACAATTGTCATTATGTGTCTGGATATGCCTTCTGTTTGCCTCCCTATAAACCCTGCTTCCTGTAGGTACTGCAACGTGCCAGTCTACTCTCCAGTGGTCCTACTTTAAAGATTTTTTTAATTACATATATGGGGTGTGTGTATATATATATATGTATACATGTGTGTGTGAGTGCAGTGGCAGAGGCCAGAGACATGAAATTTCTTGGAGCTGGAGTTAAAGAGCTGTGTGCTGCTTGATGAAGGTGTGAAAAATTGAACTTGGGTCCTCTGCAAGAGAAGTACTCACTGTAAACGCCCGAGCTAGCTTTCCAACCCCTTCTCCTACTCTTCAGTGAAGAAAAAGAATGCTCACATCAGAAAACAAATACTTTATCAATTATTTGTGACTAGAAAATTCCCAGTAAATGTCTTAAACGTTTAAAAGAATTCCTACTATAACAGGGAATCTGACTTACTTCATTACTCATCAACTAATGATGAGTTTTGTGACTTACTTCATTAGTTGATGACTTGGCTTTAGTTCAGGAGCTCAAAGGTGTTAGGAGTTGGGATTTGTGCTTTTGGTGTTCTGATTCTTGTCAAAGATACATTAACTGGCTAGAGACACCGTACCTGCTGGACTACTTGGACATCTCTCAGATTGCCACAGCACTCCCCCCACACCTTTTGGCTTCACTTCAAAGAGCTGTTCAATTGTTAGTATTCTGGTATAAATACGTTATATTCTCCATGATGACAGGATGCAATGTAAAAACAAAAAACCCTTAAATACATTTTCCATCTCCGCCACTCCCACATCTCACATCAGTAGCTCCTAGGGCTCAAACTCTTCAGTTCAGTATATTAGAGGAATATGATCTCCTACTCATTTTTATATGCACTGGTGTTTTGTCATGGGTGTCAGATCCCCAGGAACTGGAATTACAGACAGCTGTGAGCTGCCATGTCGGTGCTGGGAATTGAGCCCAGGTTTCCTGGAAGAGCAGTCAGTGCTCTTAACCACTGAGTCATCTCCCCAGTCTCTTTTTACTCATTCTTTACTTTTTCTGTTTGGGGATTGGAAGATTAAATGTACTCAGTTAGTACATGATTGGTATGTTTTACCAAGATAAACCCTTAACTGTTAACTCTTGTGTGTGATGCTGAAGTACCCAGAGCTCTCCAAAGGGACATGTGCATTGACTGATTTTGGTTGCTTCCTTATGATATATAACCTAACTGTCCCTCAAGTCCATAGCTTAAGCCCTGGCAGTGTGTGCTGGTTAGTTTTTGTCAAATAGACCCAAAATAGAGTCATTTAGGAGGAGAATATCTCAGCTGAGAAGATGCCTCCATCAGATTGACCTGTATGCGTGTCTGTGGGGCATTTCCTTATTGATTGTGTGCATGGTCCAGCCCTCTCTGGGCATTGCCATCCCTGGGCTTTGTAAGAAAAGTAATTGAATAAACCAGGGGAAGCAAACTAGTTAAGCTGCATTATGGCCTCTGCTTCAGTTCCTGCCTCCAGGTTCCTGCCTCAAGCTCCTGCCCTGGCTCCCTTGATGATGGATTCCAACCTGTAGGATGGAATAAACCTTCCTTTCCAAGTTGCTTTTGTGTTTTACCACAGCTACAGGCAGCAAACTAGGACACAGTGTATCCACTGCCACCTAGTGCCAAAAAGCCTCACCTAATGCTAAGGTTTCCCAGAGAAGGTCCCCAGAAGCCTCAAGACCCTTCAAGGAGCCCAAAGGAATCCCATGTACATTTATCCTGCCAAACAGCAGAATGCAGGCCAGGCAACAGGTGACAGTTCTTTCCTTGTGCCAATGAGAAGTACCAGTCACTGTGCCCATATGGCTCCAAACTATTTCCTCCTGTTTCCCTCCTATGTCCCTAGACGCATATAAATGTCTTTGACACAATATACAGTGGCTTAGGTATATGTGTGTTATAGTGGAGAATTCGAATGCTCTTCAGAATACATGCTGGCTTAGATAATGTGTGTTGTAGCAGAGAATGCCAGTGCTTTTCCCAATACACAGTGGCTTCGGTATGTATGCTATAGCAGAGAATACCAATGTTCTTCACAATACACAGTAGCTTAGATATGTGTGTTATAGCGGAAAATGCCAGTGCTCTTCAAACTCACTTTTCTCCTGGGAAGTCAACTCTACTACATTCTTCATCTTCCCATAGAGTTGTGTGTCAGAAGGTGATGGAGTCAAGACAGTTGGTTAATAATGAAACCACCACTTTCATTCTTGAATCTTTGTCTTCCTTTTCCCACTTTGGTTTTTTGAGACAGGGTTTTTCTGTGTCACTTTGGAGACTGTCCTGGAACTCGCTCTGTAGACCAGGCTGGCCTTGATCTCACAGAGATTTACCTGCCTCTTCCTCAAAGAGCTGGGACTAAAGGTATGTTACACCACTACATGGAAGACTTGGATCTTTTAATAAACAGTTCCCCATGTCATTTCCGTATTTTCCAACTTGATGCAGTGGAGCAGAGCTTCCTAAATCCCTGAGTATTACCAAAACTAGAGGCTCCCATGAATAGGATCTCCTGGTTTAGGCTTCACTTCAGTGAGAAATACATTGCAATTTTTCTGAGGCACTAGTAATCTCTTAAGAGCTCTTCTAATTGAAGGGGACAAAGCACCTATAAAGAAAACTAACAAAACAATATTTAACTCTGATTTTATCACAAAGACACTGAAAATCACCCAGGTTATGCAGCAGAAGGCTGTTATCACCTAAAGCCACTTCCCAAACTCAAGCAACTATGTTGTGGTTAGCGTGTTAAGGTTTTTAAACCTTTATTCTTCTCTTATACATTATATCCTGACCACAGTTTCTACTCCCTCCACTCCTCCCAGTCCATTCCCTCCTGTCCCCCCCCCCCAAAAAAAAAGAAGCAGCAGAAGCAGACTTCCCAGGGATATCCACCAAACATGGCCTAACAAGATACAGGACTAACAAGCCTAGGCACAAACCTTCAAGGCTGGACAAGGCAACTCAGTAGGATGAAAAAGGTCCCAAGTACAGGCAAAGGAGTCAGTGACAGCCCTACACATACTCCTGTTGTTGGAAGTTTCACAAAAAAACACCAAGCTACACAACAATAACATATTTACAGAGGACCTAGCTCAGACACATACAGGATCCCTGTTTATTGCTTCAGTTTCTGTGAGCCACTATGAGCCCTGCTTAGTTGATTCTGTGGCCCATGGTCTCTTGTCTTTGAATCCTCTGGCTTCTGCAATCCTTCCACCTTCTCTCTTTCAGGGTTCTCCTGGATCTGCCTAGTGTTTGGCCAATTCTGTGCCATCATTGCCCCAGCATGTCTTACAGGAAGGATAGATTGTAGGTTGAAGGTTTTGTGGCTAGGTTGATGTCTCTGTCTTAATGCTGGGAGCCTTGCCTGGTTATAGAAGATGGCCAGTCTGGGCTCGTATCCCCCATTACTAGGAGACTTCACTTGGGTCCCTTGGTATTATTTTGAGAACTGGTAGGCACTTTAGATTTTAGGGCATAACTGAAGGAAGCAGGTCACTGGTGGTACAGCCTTGAAAACCCTATCTTGTCTCCAGCTCTTTCCTCTGTCCTGCTTCCTGCCCATTATGGGGTGACCAACTTTTACTGCAGTTCATGCTCATCTCCCCGGTCACCAGAGGTGCACAGCAATGAATCATCAACTGTGAATTGAGATCCCTGCAACCATGAGCCAACAGCACCTTCCTAAGTTGTTTCTTTCAGGTATTGGTCACGTCGACAGAAAGTCTAACCATAAATCTATCTTGGAGAAGAAAACTTGTTATTGAGATTAAACCTTTGTGGTTTGGGAGAATTTGGAAAAGTTCAGAGTAACAAACTAGGAGGACCCAGAATGTTGTTAGAAATGCTTAACGGGCCATTCTGGTAAGACCTCAGAAGGCTAGAATGCTGCTAGTAAAGGTGAGAATAAGGTCTCTCTCGGGGAATTGGATTACACATCATTCATTCTAATCCCAGCAAAGAACTTATTTATATTTTAGCAGTATCCTGAGTCTTTGTATGAGGCTGAATTTAAAGATTCATACTAGTTATACAGCAGAGGATATTTCAAGCCAGCCTGAATTAAAATGGTATGGTTATTACTAGCTTCTTTTAGTCAAATCTATAGCAAGAATTGTTACCAAAAGCAAAGTGTTAAAATTTGAAAATCTTTCACTTTGAGCAGAAACAAAAACTAAAAATATAGTTGAAGCCAAGAGGAATGTGGCTGTTAAAGAGATTAGGGCCATTAAAAATAAACTAAGTGAGCCGGGCAGTGGTGGCGCACGCCTTTAATCACAGCACTTGGGAGGCAGAGGTAGGCGGATCTCTGTGAGTTCAAGGCTAGCCTGGTCTACAAAAGTGAGTCCCAGGACTGCCAGGACTACATAGAGAACCCATGTCATGAAAAACAAAAGAAAAAGAAACAAACTTAAATAGACTATATGTTGTTGTGCATGTCTATCAATGCCAGCCAGCACTTGGTAGATACGAGGCAGGAGGATCAAGAATTTACAGCCAACCTCAGCTGCATAGCAAGTTGAAGTTCAGACTAT